AGCGCGGGATCAGTTTCCTTATTCAGCTAGTGATCTGAGGTTCCAGAGGTGAATATTCTCTTGTGGAACGTTTACTCTGGGGAACGTAGGGCACACCAGCCCTTATGTCAGAAACTTGCTCTCTAAGAGTACTGAGAATGGGTGCAGTTAGATAAAGAAGGTGATTGGAACAGATGTGGTAAAACGTTAATGATGGAGACATTGCAGTTCAGGGGATGCGGTTCCTTGTAGCATCCTTGAACCATGTCCAGCTATTTGTGTGGAGGTGAGGTGATGGCGGAGAGTTGGGTTTAGTACGTATCAAGGTCTTTCAGGTTCCTGTGATAAACAGAGGAGGAGAGGATGAGTACCGGGCACTTGGTGGGGGGCCTGATAGTGCCAGACAGTAGAATCTATACTGAGTAGGGATTCAGAGAGGACACGCATGAGGAGGGAACTGTGGAGATGTTACGAGAGTGAATGGAGGGGCCGGTACCATGGCTCACTTGGTTAATCCTCCGCCTGCATCACCAGCATCCTGTATGGGCACCGGGTTCTAGTCCTGGTTACTCCTCTTCCAGGCCAGCTCTCTGCTGTGGCCCGGGAGGGCAGTGGAGTATGGCCCAAGTGCTTGGGCTCCTGCACCCACATGGGAGACCAGGAGGAAACACCTGGCTCTTGGCTTTGGATTGGCACAGCGCTGGCCGTAGCAGCCATTTGGAGAGTGAACCAATGGAAGGAAGACCTTTCTCTTGGTCTCTCTCTCTGTCAATATCTCTACTGTCAAAAAAAAAAAAAGACAAAGAGAGAGTGAATGGATTGGGATTCCCAATGGGTGTCTGCTCTTGGGACTGCCTTGTTGGATAGTGCAGTGGTCCTGGGAATCGAGTGAGAGAGCCAAGGAAACCACAGGTGCTTGATGGAGATTTAGTTGGGGTTTGTAGAGTATGATCATGGAAGGAGGACAGATTGAGGAGGATTCAGGAACGATGACAGCAAAGAACTGCGAGGTCAGCAGGAGTGGATCACTCGTGTGCAGTGAGTGGTTCAGAGTGCCAAAAGTTTCGTCAGTGAAGGGAAGGGATAACCATGAACAAGTAGCTGGTTTTAACAAGAAGCACATAGGGCTGAATGGCTTGATAGGCAAGTAATGCTCCCTAAGAGTATCTGTCTCCCTGTCCCTGGGTCCTGTGACTCTGTTACCCTAAGAGGCTACAGAAGTGATTACAGTAAGGATAGGGAGGCTGCTTTGGATTATCTGATTGGGCTAAATATCACAAAAGACATTGTGAAGTTAGATCCGAAGAAGTAGTGCTGGAAGCGGTCCCAGAGGGCCTTGAATACAAATTATTCATGTACTACCAGCTTTGTAGAGGGAGAGAGGGGCCTGTGGACCTTGGAAAAGGCTAGCAAAGTGACTCTTCGCTTGTGCCTCCAGAGGGCGTGTGGCCTGGGGACACCTTGATTTCAGGCCAGTAGAACTCATTTCATATTTCTGACCCCCACTAAATGAGATAATAAATTTGTGTTCTTTTAAGCTACTGACTTTGTGGTAGCCTGTTACAGCAGCAATAGGAAACTTATAGAAATGGTTTGGGGCCATTTCTTTGAGTTTTCTGAAAGTGTTAAAAAAGTTCTGAAAGCAATCAGGAACCAGCATAGCCTTCTACTTTTAGGCCAGCGGCATATTGGATGTGGGGGAGAAAACCAGCCTCCTTCACAGGGACATCAGAGGACAGCCTGCTTTTTCTTTCACAAAGAAGGTGGTGGGTGATTGAGAGGAAATTGAGGATGTAGAGGCATGGCAGATGGTGAATTTGTAAGAGTGTAGTATAGTATTGGGTGCAGAGATCTAGAGGGAGACTTTCAAGGTTTGCCATATGTAAATAGAAAGAGCTAAGAATCTGCATAATATTGGATTACCTACCTAGGATCCTTAAATCCCATGAATGAGTAAAGTTAAAACCAGTGAGCAAAGCTAAAATCAGCAGTAGATGGCATACGGATTCTCCTTGGATAGGTGGGCAGCCAGTTCTAATTTTTACCCCTTTCATGAGATTGTTTTGTTAGGCAGTGACCCAGAGAGAGCAACAGCTACCAGTCTGTACAGATGATTTGTCTGCTCTGACTGGGTTCTGGCCCTACAGACTGGGTGGCATCTTAGCAGTTAGGGAAGTATATGAAAACTGTTTAGTAAAGCCACAGTAAGATAGCCATACCTTCCTGCTCCCAGACATTAAGGCACTCGACTATGCTGCCTAAGATAAAATATGATACTTATTCTTGTTTAGAAATTACCTTCATTGGGGCTGGAGTTGTGGCACAGCAGGTCAGCACCCTGGTCTGAAGCACTGGCATCCCATGTGGGTGCCGGTTCGAGTCCCGGCTGCTACACATCATTATTTAGACAGGGCCACAAGCAAAGTGGAAATTCTCTCCTCCCTTCAGAGAAAGGTACTTCCTTCTTTGATGGTCCCTTCTTTCCAGTGGGATCTCACTCACAGAGATCTTTCATGAAAGCCATTTTTTGCCACAGTGTCTTGGCTTTCCATGTCTGAAATGCTCTCATAAGCTTTTCAGCCAGATCCAAATGCCGAAAGGGCTGATTCTGAGGCCAGAGTGCTGTTTAGGGCATTTGTCATTCTATGAGTCAGCTGTGTGGCATGCTGCCCATAAATATATTATTCATAATTGTTTCCCTTTTCTTTCAAAGGTATTTATAGACAACATTTTATTGGCAAAATATTTCATTATATATCTTAATTTAGCACTGCTATAGTTTCAGAGTTCTAATATTTCACTATTATGTGATGAACAACTTTATTGATGGAATTCTGTACTTAAAAGTATCCCATAGGATAGAGTTCTGATAATGTTACCACTAAATCAAAGATCAAGAACAGTACAAAGTCTGTTGAAGAGTGATGACAAATTATCTTCCTAAAACCTAGCAACAAGTTTACACTCACCCTAGTGATAGGTCTAGACATTCCCATTTTACCTGCTCAAGATAGCAATGAGTTCATTTGCATACTTTTAAACGTAATGATGCAGTAAACCATGGAATCTTAGGAGTGACCCATTTCAACTGGATTTCTGCAGAAATTTGATATTTTTAATGTAAAAATATCTTCTATCATATCCTACGCAGTTGTTCATTATCCCCCTGCTGCTTAAACCTTTTCAGTGGAAGTTCATGGATTTTATTTGTCTCTGTGACTAAATGATTATTAAAATTTAGGGCCTTCAGATTACTAAAAGGAAACATCCTTCACCATATTATTAAGCTGTGGTAATCTATAGAAGCTGTCTACTGCTAACTAGTTCTTTTTTTAAAGATTTATTAATTTATTTATTTTGAAAGAATTACAGCATGAGAGGGAGGAGGAGAGAGAGAGGAAGAGATAGAAGAAGTAGCTTCCATCCATTGATTCACTCCCCAAATGGCTGCGACATCTGGGGCTGGGCCTCACCAAAGCGAGGAGCCCAGAACTCTTCCAAGTCTCCCATGTGGGTGCAGGGGCCCAAGCACTTGGGCCATCTTCTGCTGCTTTCCCAGGCACATTAGGGAGGGTGTGGATCTGGAGCAGAGCCACCAGGACTCATAGTGTTGCCCATATGGGATGCTGGCACTACACACAGCAGCTTAACCTGCTGCACCACATTGCTGGCCCCCTAGACAGTCTATGAAATTACATCTATGAGTATTTTTCTAAGAACCTTTTCAGAAAGAATCTTTTGCCTTATTTCTTTATGTATAACACATAGTAAGCAATTAATCAGGAAGTCAAATCTAAATATTGTTCAACTTTGTTTCATAACAATAAGTACTTATAATATAGTTGACATATCTCTGAATTGTCATCGATTTGGAAATGATGTGACCAGTGTTTGGAGTTAGGCTGTTAGAATGCTCTATCAAAATAACTCTGGCTCATGAGCTAGTGTGTGAATCATTTATTGAAGAGTCTAACAAGATCTGACGAAATTCCCACTTGTTAGACAAAAGTACTCAACGTAGTTTTCAGTTGATATTAAACATGGATATTTTGGTAAGTCCACTGCATTTTGCCTCAGTGTTTCAAGGACATGTTTTGGATTGATCTTAATCATTGTCTTGTATTAAGACTTACGGAAGTCCTTTACTCTTAGCTTTCTATTGAAATGTTTGTTATTTTGATTATAACTAAAGGTAGAGAAAAATGTGACATTTAGTTTCCACTTAATTAATAGGCATCTGAAAGGCTAACTTTAGGATCAATTTAAGTTTTAGTTTCTTAAAATTTGGAAAAAAAATGAATTTAAACTACCTACAAATTAAGTAGTTAGTGTGTCTTTGGACTTTTTCACTAAGAACCAATTCTGAGTGTATTCTGAGTATAGGCAGAAGGGACTATAGGTTGGGTAGAACATTTTGGGTATGCAAGTAATTAAATTCGTGCCACTAGCTAGGGATTTCTCAGATAGTCAAATATAAGTAATTTAATGTGTTCATTATTTGGTGTCATCCATGCTATCTTTTCCCTCATTGGTATAGATAATGAAATTTATTCCAATTTTATTTTTTTGTTCCACCTGGGTAATGACAATTTATAAAAGTGACACATGGAAGAGTTTATTTTTAAAAAGGGGGCATTTTTGCCGGCACCGTGGCTCATTAGGCTAATCCTCCGCCTAGCGGTGCTGGCACACCGGGTTCTAGTCCCGGTCAGGACACCGGATTCTGTCCCGGTTGCCCCTCTTCCAGGCCAGCTCTCTGCTGTGGCCAGGGAGTGCAGTGGAGGATGGCCCAAGTGCTTGGGCCCTGCACCTCATGGGAGACCAGGAGAAGCACCTGGCTCCTGCCATCGGATCAGCGCGGTGCGCTGGCCGCAGTGCGCCTGCCGCGGCTCCCATTGGAGGGTGAACCAACGGCAAAAGGAAGACCTTTCTCTCTGTCTCTCTCTCTCTCTCACTGTCCACTCTGCCTGTAAAAAAAGGGGGGGGGGCATTTTTGGTTTATTACTTACCATGCTTATCTTAACAATGTAAAGTGTGACACATTATTATTTTTAAGTATTCCTAATCTGGTAATTCCAAAATCCAAAAAACCCTGAAAACTGAAACACCTCTGATCCCAGCCATTTCAAATAAGGGATATTCAACCTGTTCAAGAAATTCAAGGGAGATACTTTGCAGTTCAGGTAAGATAAGCTGTGTAGAAATTAAGCAGGCTTTTGTTTTACACTTGATTCATTTATTTGTACTAAAGTAGCTCATTCAGTAACACCCCATTTGTCTGGTCACTTTCCTGAATAAGATGGAATTTTCCAGGTAACTGATCATAAATTAGTTTTCCAGGTAACTGAGTCTTAAACATTCAAGGACTCAAATCTTTTTATATTTAACCATTTTGATGGAAATTTTTATAAAATAGGTTTCGTACTTTCTACCTCCTTACTTCTCTTTTTTTTAATCAAAGGATGCGATGTGATTGGATCTTTTTTTCTGAGGTCTTGGGACCTCTATTTTTGGCAAGTTGAGAGTCATGCTTGCTTTTAGGGTTTTTTCCCCTCTCCTTGGTCAGTTGCCATTTCTTCTCTTGGATCCACCTCTCTTCTTGTTCCCTTGAGGGTTTTGGATTTTATTCTCTGTGGCTCATGAAACCACACTTGGTAGGAAGCCCCGTGTGTGGTCAGCCAGGATTCTGGAAGAGGAGAGTGTGGGCATCAGGAAGGAAGTGCCTGGGCTAGTGGCCCTCCAGATGCCTTCGCTGTGCCAGACGTTCTTATTTCCCAGTTTGGAGCTTTGTTCTCGCTGCTGACTCATATGTTGGGTCTTACCTGAGACCTTTGTTTTCACAGGTGAGCCCTAAGAGTATTCTGCGAATGGCTCAAGCTTGCGCACACTGAATCGTGTTAGAACCCTTGGTTTAAGACTCAAGTATGCTGTCTAGAAGCACACTGCTTCTCTATTCTGTAGTGTTAACTCCAGGTAATTATTATGTACATGGTTAGCAGTCTTAATAGGTAAAAAAAAGGCTGTGTTCTCTTTGATGGGTGCTCTTGTTACTCACCCTCCTATCTAGGCTAGAAAGCAGAGTACCTTTAGATGTTTCTACATGCATGTGGAGCGACTCAGCTTTTTCTCTTTATAGCTTTGGTATTACTAGAATCTTCCCTCTCTGCCACCTTCGTTCTGTGGCCCTGCTGTCATCCTTTGCCTCTTATTCTTGTTCTGCTCATCCTCCTCAAAAGCACCAGTCGTTTGACCAATACACGCACTCATTAAATGGAAAAAATACAGGGAGGCACTTTGAACACGTAGGGGCATTTCTCTTATCAAATGCCTGATACGGGAATGTTACTGCTGATCTTGCTCTGATTAGATTTCTTTTTTCTTTCTTTTTTAATGATTTATTTAGTTACTTGAAAGTCAGAGTTACACAGAGAGAGAAGGAGAGGAAGAGAGAGAGGCAGAGGGAGAGGTCTTCCATCTGCTGGTTCATTCCCCAGATGGCCGCAATGTCCGGAGCTGCTCCAATCCAAAGCCAGGAGCCAGGAACTTCTTCCGGGTCTCCCACATGGATACAGGGGCCCAAGGACTTGAGCCATCTTCTACTGCTTCCCAGGCCACAGCAGAGAGCTGGATTGGAAGTGGAACAGCTGAGGCTCCTGCCACCACCGCAGGTGGTGGCTTTACCTGCTACACCACAGCGCTTACCTCCTAGATTTCCTTTTTCTAACACAGGCAGTACAGTACTGTCCTTTTGAGAGGAACAAAGGTTGTAAACGTCACACGTGAAATGAGAAGTTGAGTAAGAAGACCTTCAGGGGCAGGTATTTGATGTTGGGTGGCAATAAGAAGCTGCTTGGAACACCTGCATCCCATAGAGTATTCCCTGTTTCAAGTCCTGGTGTTGCTACTTTACTCAAAAAGAAAAGATTTTGTTTATTTGAAAGGCAGAGTTACAGGGAGACAGAGAGGGAGAGAGAGAGATTGATCTTCCATCCACTGGTTCACTCCCCAAATGGCCTCAGTGGTGGCTGGGGCTGGGCCAGGCCAAAGTCGAGAGCCAGGAGCTTCATCTGGGTATCCCACAAGAGTGGTAGGGCCCAAGCACTTGGGCCATCTGTATGCCTTCCCAGGCACATTGGGAGGGAGCTGGTCCAGAAATGGAGCATCTGGGACTGGAAGTGGTACCCATATGGGATGCTGGCGTTGCAGGCGGCAGCTTTACCCACAACACCAGTGCCAACACCTGGTGCTGCTTACAATGCAGCTCCCAGCTGATGTGCATCCTGGGTGGCAGCAGGTGAAGGCCCAAGTGCTGGGTCCCTGCCACCTAAATTTGAGATCCGATTTGAGCTCCAGGTTCTGGGCTTTAGCTAAGATCCAGATCTTCCTGCTGGGGGCCTTTTGGGAGTTGTTGGAATATCGAACTCTCTCTTTGTCTCTTTGCTTTTCATATAAAATGAAAATTAAAACTATGTAAAAAACAATAGCTTTGGTAAATGCTAAAGGAATATGAATTACTCAGACTTTAAAAGTCATTTGTAAGGCATATATTCATCTTTAAACATATAAATTTTATTTTGAGGGTGATGTTAAAATCAATTTTGTATATTTCTCTGACAGTAAGAACTTATTTGATAAGCAGTTTTAAATATGAATCTATTTTTCTTTTAGCAACTTAACTCATGTACCATATGAAGCCAATTATTACCATAGGTCAATAAAGAAAAATGGCACTAGATTTTCTGTTTATCCTTAAAATGTGGAAATTCATGTTTTCAAGGTTTTTTTTTTTTTTTTGCATTGTTCCCTTGATGATTTCCTTCTGTCATTTTATCTCTTTTTACAACTCTTGCCAGTTTCCACTGGGCCTGCTGAACTAAACTTGTTTTCCTCTTTTCCTTTGCTCTCCTCTCTCTTTGCCCTTTGTCGTTGTTTCACAAGAGTTTTCTTATTATCTGAGGGTGTTCAGTTTCCTTGTTTGCTTTCTTCATTGCCTCTGTTTTATTTTTTTGGTAAGAAAACAACGTGAGATCATCTCCCCTGGTGACAGATTTTCAAATGTGCAATACAGAACTGCTAACTGTAGGGATAATGTTCCACAGCGGATGTGCAGAACCTATGCATTTCGTGTTATGGAAACTGATCGACAGCTCCACATTGTCTCTCTGCTGCCCCTGGTGACCGCTGAGCTGATCCTGCTTCTGTGGGTTTGATTGTTGTAGATGCCTCTTGCAAGGGGAACCATGTCGTGTTTGTCCTGTGTGACTGGATGATTTCCTTCAGCATAAGGTTCATTTACCTTGTTGCATGTTACCAAATGTCCTTCCTGTTTGAAATGCTAATTAATACTCCACAGTATGTATAGACCATATTTGCTTTATCTTTTCGTCTGTTAATGGACATTTAGTGCTTCTGTGTCTTGGCTAGCGTGAATAATGCCGCAGAGAATGGAGGATCTTAATTTCAGTTGCTGTAGATTTATACTAGAACTGAGATTGCTGAGTCATATGGTGCTTTCATCTTACATGTTTTGGAGGAACTTCCACACTGTTTTCCATAGTGGCTGCACGATTTTACAGTTCTGCAACATACAGGTTTCCAGTCTCTCCACATCCTCCCCAGTGTCTGCCTTCATCTTTTGGATAGTCCCCATCCTGAGGGGTGTGATGTGGTGTCCTACGGTGACTGAGTTTGTGTATCCTGCTTCCTTGTTTGTTTTAGTCTCTTTTCTGGGGAAGACTTTCCTGAGTTATCCATTGGCCAGTATTTTCTCCTTCATAAGCTACATGCACACGAGGGTGACCACTATACTAAGTGATCCATGTTACTTCAGTATACACAAAGGAACTGCCAAACATGTGTGGAAAGTGAAAATAAAATATAATTTTATTTGGTGCAAAACACTTTAATAGTTTTTTTCATAATAGGCATTTTCGATGGACTTTTTGAAGACCCCGTCCTCTATGCAGTTTCATTATTTCCTTTTGAGTGTATTTGGTTATCCATATTTAACTAGCAAAACTAGGGATCTGTGGAAATTCAGCATAAGAAAGGCTTAAATTAGAGTGTTAGACATTGCATTGGATTATCATAGAAAGTTTTGTGACTTCTGAAAAATGTATTATTTTGGATTTTTAATACAAATGTTACTGTGATGTTTCAAGAATGTGAGGTTTTGTTGGAGGAGTTGGGAGCAGAGTCTTTGTCTTTTCTTTTGGACTCAAAGGGTGTTTTTAGGTGCATTACGGTTCTACTTTCCCAATTTCACCGTACCTTAGGGGTTAAGTTGGGTTTAAAGTAATGAATTACAGCATATTCTTTATTCTTCTGTTGGAATTGCTGGCCACTTAGGAGGTTGAGAACTACTCCTACGAGATACTTCATTACTGTGATCCTTAATTAGGATGAGATAATGGGTCATTTTCTTAATTCCCATAAACTTAGTTGAGGGAAATCATTTCATACAGAATAATTCAGATGTTTTAAAGCCGTGTATCAAAAAGGAAGTTTAGTTTTCTCAAAGAATGTGCAGTGGTGGAGGTTTTCTCAAAAACCATTTTACTAATAAATGCTAAGGGTCTTGTAAAGTGAGGAAAAATGCATTACGCCTCATGGTTTAAATGAACAAAATGTACCGATTTACTTCAGAACTATCAAAGCTAATAAAATAAATTTTGTACATTAATTTTCATTAGTATGATTGTGCTAAGTGTGGGTAGTTCTTTTATTTCATTAAAACAAAAGAAAACTGGTAGGCTATAGAGAGTCCCTTTGTTTATTTGGCCTAATTTAAAAGTAAAATGTATATTATTCTCATTACATGCATTAGTGTTGAGTGTTGCATTCATAAATTTATGGCTGTCTTAAATTGAACAGTAGTTGATTACTTTGTGCTTTGTGGCTGCACAAAGAGAGGCTGGGCTGGGAGTGAAGAGGACTCAGGTCCAGGCTGTTACAGTGCTCGCCTGCTCTGTGGCTTCTGCAGGTCTCTTAAATTCTCTGCTGTCAAGGCTTCTCAGCTAGACAAGATCCCCTATGTTCCCTCCATTTAAAATAGTCCCCTATCTTCTGACAACATAAGTCTTCATTGGTCTTTGTAAGTTGAGTGATTAATACAAATGCTTTGTGTGGATATGTAAAAATAACATGCTTGGAATTTCAGGTATTATTAAAATGTATAAGGTGAGAAATGAAAGTTGGCCAACACCCTGACTGAAAGTGGATTAAAAGAAAACAGTCTTCAGTGGCAGAGCTAACAATTGCTAAAAAAATTCATGCATGTCTCAGGGTTTGCACAGAAATCATGATACATGTACTTCATAGCACCTTGAATTTTCTCCCTTATGTCTTGGAAATTATTTCATGTAAGCAGATTCCTGAACATACTTACTTCTAACATTAATACTTCAACAAGAAATTTAAAGTGTAAATCTTACCTTTTTTCTTAAATCCTAATTGTTCCTATGCTATTTAAATAATTTGTAAAAATTATATAGAAAAATGGGGACCAGCGCCGTGGCTCACTTGGTTAATCCTCCGCCTGTGGCACCAGCATCCCATATGGGTGCCGGGTTCTGGTCCCGGTTGCTCCTCTTCCAGTCCAGCTCTCTGCCGTGGCCCAGGAGGGCAGTGGAGGATGGCCCAAGTGCCTGGGCACCTGCACCCACATGGAAGACCAGGAGGAAGCACCAGGCTCCTGGCTTCAGATCAGTATGGCTCCGGCTGTGGTGGCCATTAGGGGGTGAACCAATGGAAGGAAGACCTTTCTCTGTCTCTCTCCCTCTCTCTCTCACTAACTCTGTCAAATAAAAAAAAGAAAAAGAAAAATGTCTGAAAGTAAATAAAAGAAATGATAAGGCAAGCACTATAGATTTTTTTAACAATACAATGTTTGTATTGGTGGTTTTTTTCCCCTTTGTGTTTTTTCTCTGTATTCCACTTTTTTAACAATTGATGTTTTGTTGGAAAAAATCCAT